TCTGAAAGAAATTTAAAAAAGAACTTTTAAAGAAAATAATTTGAATAATGAAAAATGATAACAGCTCTATGTCCTTCTCTAGTCTTCAGAGTGAACCAAATCAGTCCAGTGTGATACCATTTCTAATATTGTTTTCTAATAAGTGTGTCATTCATTTTCAAAGTTTATCATCTTACTTAAAAAGCTCAATCTTCCCATCAAGCAGCATATCTTACTGAGCACATAAATACAAAGTAAGAGGAGCACAGGCAATCTCAGCCCTCTGCTGAAGCTACTCAGTAGCATAGGCTTTCAGAATACATCCCATAACAATAAGTGATGTACAGGTTCAGCACTGAAAACAGTAGAAAGCTGGAATCATGGAATGAGGCATCAACAGCTACAATTTATTTTTAGATTATTACAGTATAAATCTGAACATTTCTAGAGAGCGATCTYGCCACTTCATGGAAATGCATTCTGCTTGAATTAGCCATGCTGGTGGCAAAGCCCCACTGTGAATCTCACAGGAAAAGGCAGTATTAGAAAGGCTACCAATGATCAGATCATCATGCAAGTTGTGCATGTAAACAAGAAGTAATGCAGTTTCAGATATAGTTTATTTTTTAATAATATCTAATTATCATTAATGATGTTAAAATTCCTTTAAAAAATAAAAACTCTTACCGGGATTTAAAGAGAAATGAATTTGCATGTAATAATTTTGCATCTTGGAAATCACCCATTGCAAATTGTCCATAAATTATACCATTCAACTGTCTCTTTTCCAACCTTAWATCCATTTTCATGTTTTAAAAAGCTGATTCATATGGTGGCTCATCTCTCATATTTCCARAAAGCATGCCAATAAATCCTCACCAGACAGCTGGGTGAGGAGGTGTGTGTGTGAATGTGTGTGTGTGAGCTGGGGGAGATAGATTTTTTGTGTGTTGGGAYTGAAAGGGGGCTTTTTTTTTTTTTTTGCTTATTTGCAAATCTAGTCTAGAGACTACTAAAGCAAGTAAAATGAGAACTACTAAAAGGTGATGGTTGAGTACATAAACTGGTCAGATGTGGGGATTGAAATGGCTCAGACCATAAATTCTTTACAAACACTACTTGTGTGCACCTGAGCTAAACTGTGACAGATAGCAGCAGAAGGAAATGAGAGCCTTCTATTGATTTCAGTGGCTCACTGGCAAGCTTGTGTTTATATCTTGGTTTTATTGGGATTTCAAAAAAGAAAAAAAAAAGAAACAAACAAAAAGCCTCATAATCCAGTGCACATAACTAATGAATCTAACTCACGCAGAAGAGATTCTGARTCTCTATGACAAGTCTGCAAGTGACAGAATGACTAAATTACATGCTGGTTATAGCATGATGCTTATTCCTGTCCTATCCAGGTGGAGCTGTTCTTTACACTATGTGATTCAGCCATCAAATAGCAGCATGCACACTTGAAAGGCCAGGAGGAGGCTGTATTGAGAATCTGTCAAAAACAAATGTGCAAACCTCTATGCAGTAGTCAGTGAACGTTCCTAGAATCATTCTTTTGTAAAAAGAAAAAAAAAAAAAAAAAAAAAAAAAAAAAGCCAAATGAATTCTTGGCTCTATAGAATGTCTTTGATATAAATTTTGAGTTTTACAGCTTTTTACCTCCTGCCTTCATCTCTATCTGATGAGTCTGCAGCTGACGGATGCCTATTAAGACTGACATTTTTATCATACATAAAAATTTTCAGATGAATATTCCATGCAGGAACACAGGACCAACTAAAGAGCTAAACCTTTGTGCGAACAAAAAAATACACAGAATCTCCAGTACTACGTGCTTTATCAGGTTTAAATTATTAAATTAAATTATTAAATTAGCCTAATTTAATCCATTTAGGCTTTTTTGTTTGTGCTATGGAGCTTGTTTGGATTTGTTAGCATTACGATGCCTAAAAAAAAAAAAAAAAAGAAAAATACCACACACACATACATACACTGTTCTTACTGCCCATAACACTTTGGTGAAGAAGAAAAAAAAAAGCAGCAGATTTTTGTATTCACAGTCTATATGTTTGTGCTATAACAGTGCATTTTTAAACAATACAGTTCCCCCTTGGAATACAGAAGGAAGAAAATGCATTTTCTTGTCGATATATATGTTTTTCAGCAGAGGCAAATCCTAAAGGACATGAAAATCAAAGAAGAAAAAATAGCTTTGAATCAGAACTCTCAGGAGGATTTTTTTTTTTTTCTGGATGCCAAAATGAGTTTCATTTTTTAATACTTGGTACAACTTAATCAGTTGTACTTGCACACATCATACCAACAATAATTGCATTTATATGACATATAGACATATGAGTAGATAAGACAGAAGTCACATCTGTATTTATACACAAAGGGGTTACAATGTCGAGATGCCAGCAATGAGTGGGTCAAAATTAAATTTAATTATACATTATTCTTAGAAAATTACATGCCATCATAAATCTTCTGGTTTTGAGTTACCAGAAACTGCATGGCATGTTTTCATGCCTTGGTCTTGAGTGATTCACTGGATTATGTTTATGACTGTGTATGCAACCCGCTACCCAGTACTGTAAGTAAAAATATTTCTCATGTCCTACCTTAAGACACAGTGCTATTTATAGAAACTATTAATAGAACTGACATAAAATGATTAATAGGCCTGATAGATTTTTTTTTAAATAAAATGAAAATAAAATGTTGCATTCTTTAGCGGTAAAAATTATCTCCTTTCTACAAAGCAAACTCGACTCTTCATCAAGGAATTAAAATTTATGGAAATAAATCCACCACTTACGATGACAGATTATTTATTTATTTACATTTATGTATAGGATTTATACATCTAACAATTAATATACTTATGTACCATAGGATGTAGACTACTTTTCTTCCATCTGTGAGATAAAAACTTGCAGTTATGTTTTCAGAGGAGCAAAACACCGGAGACTTCCATTTTGGTGTAACTCCTTGTAAATCCATCCATTCTTGCCTTCTAATTCCCTACTTCAAAACATGTGTATATAACCCTAGCACTACTAAACATTTAAAAATAAAATCAATCTAGAGTTCTGCAGATGTTTCTTTCAACATTGATTAGGCACAGCTGAAGGTGAGTTTTTTTTTGGGGGGGGGGAGGAGAAAAGGATGCAGTTTCTTTTTAAATGCAAAGCATCTAAAAAAGGAGATGCATTTATGCCATCATTATGACAAGCAGTACCCCCATAAAACCTATTGAAGACAAAAACAAAATGCAGGGCGCCTTGTGCCACAGTTTAAATGGCCACATCAGTCTCTGCTCTGCCTACTGTATCACCAAGGCTGCTGCAATTTAAGCTGCTGCACTTGATCTACAAATGAAATACAAAGGCGGTCCTTCACACTGCAGTCCATCTGACTGAGTTTTGATGTCTTATCTCAATTCTACAGGTTCTTCAAGCTCCCTGCTCTGCCCCATCCCCCTGCCCCAGTCTAATACGGCTAAAAACTTTCCCTTAAGAGCCTTCCAGSTTATTTGCCGTCTGAGGCTCAGCACGCCGTTATGCTGCTCAGGGTGTTAAACCATTCAAGCTACAAGAGCCTGCTTTAAATATATATATATATTATATTATATATATTATATATTATATATATATATACATAAAGATGTGCAGTGGGCATTTTAAGAAAGGTAGAATACATAGTGGGACTTGAAGCCCTCCAGGCAAAAGACCCAACTTCTTTATATAAAAAATAAGAATCTTATATATATATATATATATATATATATAAAATAATAAAATCAAGTCGAGCACGGCCTCGGAAGTGCCCACACCACCACCTTGCGGCACGTTCCCGCAAGAGCAGCACCTGCTCCTCGCCACCAAGTTCCTTCCCCCCGCGCCGAATATCGCAGCGGGTCCGAGGTTCCCAGGCCCCGCGCGCTCCCTCATCAGCTGCGGCGGTGGCAACGCGGCCCCCGCGCCGCCCCCTGCCCGCCGGGGCGGCCGCGCAGCGGGGCGCGAGGTGCGCGGGGACCCTCCGCCGCTTCCCGCCTCCGCGCCGGCTTTGCAAGGAAGCAGATTTACTGCCGGGAACGATTTTTTGTTGTTGATGTTTTTCTCTCTCT